CTCCTCTCCTCTCCTCTCCTCTCCTCTCCTCTCCTCTCCTCTCCTCTCCTCTCCTCTCCCCTATACACACACACTCTCTCTCTCTCTCTCTCTCTCTCTCTCTCTCTCTCTCTCTCTCAGTTCTGGTGCCATATGGTCACACTTACTAATAACAATAAAACTCCAAATCAACAGGGGAGAAAGGCGGCTAGGGCTGGCACCTGGCACACCGCTAAGACAGACAGTTTCCAAAGCAGGCGAGGCAGACGAACTCTGTAAAACCAGAGGCTCCATATTCCGATGCGCAAGGCCACAAGGCCAGCTCCCCAGTGGGCTTATATAAACACCGTTTCTCAAGCATCCCTGGCCCACATATACTCAAGTGTTTAAAGGATTATAACCAGTAGGGAGCCCTGCCCCTTCCTTCTGTGATTTTCAAGGGTATTTTGAAGGCAATCATTCAATGTCAGGGTGTACCTTTCCATAAAACACTGTGTTGGCAGCCTCTCCTTGGGAGTGCGTGCTGTCTGACATGATGACCTAAATGCCCGCAGAGCACTGGGTCGGGGGAGGGGGGAGGAATGCATGGATGGAAACAAGGTGGCCTACCGCAAGAGGTCTGGGGTGGTGGGTAGAGAAATGACAGTCTAACTTCTCGGGTTCGTCGGCTCCGTCCATCTCCCCTTCATCACTTGACAGTCGGCTGGTGAGGTCACCTCCAGCTGGGGGTAGTGGGGGTTCCGGAGTGCAGCCACTGTGATTTGAAGATGTGTTGCTACTGATGCTATTTGCAGATGATGGTCTAAGGGCAAGGAGAGAAACGGACAGAATAAACTTTTCTGAGGCAGCAAGACCCATTCAGCTGAAGGGAGCTCGGAAGGAGACCCATCGGCTTTCTCGACATACCAAGGAAGGCAGGTCAATGGCAGATTGACACAAGGCAAAAATTCAGGCTGAGAGCAGGTTAGCTCTCGGTTAGAGAGCCGACCAGCTCTCTAAAATGATCCCGTGGAAGTTAGGCCCTGCCGGGCTTCAATTCAGGCACCAGGGAAAACTCCCATAGTGTAAGTGGAACATAAAATACAGTACTGTAACAGAGAGTTAACTTCAAACCAGTCTTCTAATGAATGCAGTCACAATTACTCATCTCTTTGCACATAAGTAATTTGCACTTGCCAGATAGTTGCTTCTCTCTGAAAGTAGACCCTGACAGGAAGTTCAACAGAGTAAACAACTTCGAACCAATTAACAGACCATCGGTGATGATGAAGATAGCCGCATACTTGTTGTTACTCTTAAATTATAGCTTTATGCAACTGTTACCCTACTGGCATGAAAAAAGGTTTTGTCCCAATGATGGGGCACAAGTCTCTTACTCCACAGCCAGATTTGTTTCTTTTTTTTTTCTTTTCTCTCTCTCTCTCTCTCTCTCTCTCTCTCTTTTTCTTTTTATAAGTAAGCTCTATACCCAACGTGGGGCTTGAACTTATGACTCTGAGATCAAGAGTCTCATGCTTTGCTGACTGTGCCAGCCAGGTGTCCCCAGATCTGTTTCTTAATATCAAGTCACATGTAGTTCAATTGTATCTTCTGAGGATGGATGTGTCCATTTAATTTTTGACAAGCCACCAGAACCACAGGCTGGCATGACTGGCTTCTAGTGGGTTCTGAAGAAATAGGTTTCTTAATGAAGGCATGAATGAGTTCCTTGTGTATGAACAAAACCTAGCAGATCTCATCTCAATGACGGCTGAGCTTATAGAAAAGCAGTGTCATAGTCAGAAGCACTGCATGCTTCACAAGCAGCAAAAACCAAAACAAACCAAAACAAAGCAAAACCAAAATCAAAAACAACACATTCATGTTGGCAAAAGAGTTAGAAGAGGAATAGTCAAAGTTAGTTGTCAGTTGTTTTTCCTGCTTTTTCACTTTCATCAGGTGACTGACCAAGGAGAAATAAAGGGAGAAAAAGAAGTGTTGGAGAAAAAAAATTAGTTTTCTGTATTCTTCTCTGAAAGCTGCCCCTTCAAGCAGTGTGAAACAGCACCGTTGATTTTCTCCCTATTCCCTCAACTTCCCTCGGAATTCTTCGTTGCTCTGAAATCTTTCCAGCTGTCAAATACCTGAGTTCAAACCAGATCCCCAAAGCACAGTCATTTAACTTAATTATTTATTAATGTTTATTTATTTTTTGAGAGAGCGTAAGTGTGGGAGGGGCAGAAAGAGGGGAACAGAGGATCCGAAGCGGGTTCTGTGCTGACAGCAGTGAGCCTGATGTGGGGCCTCAACTCACGAACCGTGAGATCATCACTTGAGCCGGAGTTGGACGCTCAACGGACTGAACCACCCAGGTGTCCCAAACACAGTCATTTAAAGCAAAGCCGCAAAGGTCCCAAACGTCCATCAACAGATGAATGGATAAAATGGTATATCCATACAATGGAATGTTAAACCTTAAAAAAGAAGGAAATTCTGTCACGTGCAACAGCATGGATGAATCTTGAAGACATTATGCTAAGTGAAATAAGCCAGTGACAAAGGACAAATATTGTATGATTCCACTTGTATGAGGCACCTAGAATAGTCAAGTTCATAGAGACAGACAGTAGGACAGTGGTTACAGGTGATGGTGGATGGGGAATGGGGAGTTAGTGTTTAATGGGTACAGAGCTTCAAAATGAGATGATAGAAAGTCCTGGAGAGGGATGGTGGTGATGGTCGCACCACAAGGTGAAGGTACTTATGCCACATACTGTACACGTAGAAACGGTTAAAATGGTAAATTTTACATTATGTATATTTTACCATAGTAACGAAGCCCATAAGAAACCAAACCCAAGGCCCCAGGTAGTTTTTTTAGTGTTACTACAAGAACTCTGTTGCTGTGACACTTTGTTCCTGACTGTCACCTTCCCATATTTATGAAAACAAAAATGCCATTCATTCTGCATGTTCAAAGTGTATGGTCCGGAGGACACATCTCCCCAGGTGCATTCCCACATACCTACTCCCTTGTATCAGAAGGGGCAACGTTATTGCCTATTTATGGCTGAAGACACATACAGGAAAACAATGCTGATAATGCTGAAACATATAAGGAAAGAAAGCAGCATCCATAATCCTGCCATTCAAGATCAAGTGCTATTACCATTCTGATTTATATCCTTCCAGATTTCTCTACTGTGCATACACAGGCACATGCATTTTTAAGCAAGAACTGGCTCACACTGTATATACTATTTTCAGACATGCTTTTTTTTTTTTGCCTAGTGATGTTGTAGAAATCATTCCATGGGTAGAATTAGATCATTTTTAATATCCCCAATATTCCATAGTATGGATAGATCATAATTGACTGAATTATTACTTAACTATGTCTATCGATGGACATTTACGTTGTTTCCAAAATTTCTAGCAGCCTCTTTTTGAGGCCTTTCCCACTGTGTTAGGACCTCCTTGTCCTACAGGAGATAAAAGTGAGCTGGATTTTATTTAGTGTGATTAACAGCATCACAGTTATGTAGGAAAATATCTTTACATTTATTATTATTATTTTAAATATTTTTTAAACTTTATTTACTTATTTAGAGACAGGGAGAAGAGAAGTCGCCTCCCAAGCAGGCTCCATAAGAGCCTGATGCAGGGCTCAAACTCACGAATGGTGAGATTATGACCTGATCTGAAATTAAGAGTCCATTTAACCCCTAAACTAAGAATGGGAATTTCACTTATCTTGCTAATGATTGATTTGTTAAAGGGTGTGAAAAATACATAAATTTTTTTTTCCTCTGGGGAGGTTGCAAATTTTCCTCACTTTTAAAAAGAGACACAAGGAAGTGGTCTCCACCTTCATCTGGAAGTACCAAGTACCACAGCCATCTTGCTATAAAACTTTGAACATGAAGCCCGAACACTGAAGAGGGTGGAATAAAAGAAAGGCAGGGAATATGAGCCGATTCCGCATCTTTGGGGACTGGTGCCCTGTCGCCTCTGGACTTCTTGTCACATGTGATAACAATTTTTTTAAAAATTTTTAAATGTTTATTTTTGACAGAGAGACAGAGCATGAGTGGGGGAGGGGCAGAGAGCGAGGGAGACAGAATCCGAAGCAGGCTTCAGGCTCTGAGCTGTCAGCACAGAGCCCGACGCGGGGCTCGAACCCACAGACTGCGAGATCATGACCTGAGCCGAAGTCGGACGCTCAGCTGACTGAGCCACCCAGGCACCCCAACGATTTTTTTTTAATTTTAATTTTTAGAGAGAGAGAGACAGTGAGACAGAGAGTGAGAGAGAGAGCACATGAGCGGGAGAGAAGGGCAGAGGGAGAGAAAGAGAGAATCCCAAGCAGTCTCCCCATCAGTGCTCAGTAAGGACCCTGACATGGAGTTCGATCCCACAGCCCTGGGATCATGACCTGAGCCAAAATCAAGAGTGGGATGCTCAACTGACTGAGCCACCCAGGCGCCCTGCATGTGATAAAATGTTTAATTATTTAAGCGATCAGGAAGACTAGGTTTTCTGCTACTTGCACTTGAAGCATCCCAATGGCTACACAGTGAACATGAGATTTTAACATACTTTGAGAAGACAGAACGTGTCTGCAGAAGTGTTAACTGCAGGGCCAGGAGCTGGCTGACCGCAGAACCTGGAGCTACCTAGGGCTGCAAAAGTCATGGGTGAGGTGTGGGCTAAGTCTCGAGGGAGAGCTGAAGGTCTTCCCACGTGGTAGCTGGACCTACAGGTCAACACCACGACCTCACATGGCCAGATGATGCACCACTGCCCCTGCCAGGTCCCACCTTCTCCAACCAACTCTCCAACAAGAGAACAAAGGTTTACTCTGCAGAGAAACTGAACTGGAGAGACCCTAGACAAGGGGCTGCCGGGCTCGGCAGAGATCAGGAGAGAAGCACAGGGCTGGAAACAAGGTGACTGTGGGCTATCTCTAGTTAGTGGGCACTTCCAGAATGCCTATCACCATGAAGGATTCATTCCCTGAGAAACTGAATGGCCTTGAAAAAGCTTCCAGATCTTGCCTTTGAGAATCCTTTTTGCTGACAGACCCACACAAAGACTTCCAGTCAGCCTGTTAGTGCTTCTCTTTTAAATGTGAATGGTTAGGCACCCCACCCCGCCTTCAGCTCAGGTCAGATCTCGAGGTTCATGAGTTCCAGCCCCACGTCAGGTTCTGTGCTGACAGCTCAGAGCCTGGAGCCTGCTTCAGATTCTGTGTCTTCCTCTCTCTCTGCCCCTCCCCTGCTTGTGCTCTCTCTCTCTCTCTCTCTCTCTCTCTCTCTCTCTTTCAAAAATAAATAAACATTAAAAAAATTTAAATGTGAATGCTTAGGGATCACCAAACATTCCTGGAACATCTCCATTATGAGACTGACTAGCCAAATATCAAATGCACAGCACGAAAGAAATCAAGATAGCAAAGGAAAGAGGAAACAACTAAAAAAAAAACCTATCTTCAAAGATATTAGAATGGTATTACCTCTGCAAAATGACAGTATCTTGTATGATATTCTGAGAAGCAATTAGAAGTTCTTTTTATCTAAGAACCAGATCCTAGAATTTTAAAAAGTGAATCATAAGTGGATTATTTCACATACACTTTTGAAGGTAAAATAAAAGAAAATCTTTCAGAAAGTAGAACAAGAGATGAAGAGAAACAGGGGAAAAGAGGTAAAAGAATGAAAACATCAGAGCAAAAGGTCCAACATCCAGCTAATGGGAAGTCAATAGAGAGAATAAAGACAATAGTGGGGAGAAAATTAGCCAAGATGTAGCATAGGAAAATAT